TTTTCTTTTCTTTTCTTTTCTTTTCTTTTCTTTTCTTTTCTTTTCTTTTCTTTTCTTTTCTTTTCTTCTTTCTTTCTTTCTTTCTTTCTTTCTTTCTTTCTTTCTTTCAGGGCAATGGCAAAGGGTCTAGTTTCTTTTAATGGCATTTTGTGAAAAACTATGGAATGTGATCTATCATGAGCATACTCAAATTTCTTGCAGGCGGGGGCACCTGGGTGGCTCTGGGTGGTTAAGCGTCTGACTTCAGCTCAGGTCACAATCTCATGGTTCATGAGTTAGAGCCCCGCGTCCGGCTCTGTGCTGACAGCTCAGAGCCTGAAGCCTGCTTCAGATTCTGTGTCTCCCTCTCTCTGCCCTTCCCCCACTCATACTCTGTCTCTCTGTCCATCTCTCAAAAAGAAATAAACATTAAAAAAAAATTTCTTGCAGGCGTTTAAACATCCAACCTCTTCTATTTAGCATAATATATTATTTACGATAACCTTGAAATCCTCGATGGATTATGGGGTAGCCAGCCTCCAAGATAGCTCAATGACCCTCATCTCATGGTATTCATGCCCTTTCTGTGTTCCCTTCCTACATGGCTTCCTACAATACAATACTGTGGAAGCGACATATGTGACTTTCAAGGCTGACTCATAAACAGACATTGCAGCTTCTACCTTGGTGTGCCTCTTGGATCACTTGCTTTGAGGGAAGGCAGCTGGCATGTCATGGTGACACTCAAGCAGCTCTATGGCAGGACCCATGTGGTGAGGAACTAGGGCCCTCCACCAAGAGCCAGCACCGACTTGCCAGAATTTGACTTTGTGCACATGAGTCACTTTGCAGTACAAGTGACCAACCCTAGCCGAGCTTTCAGAAAACTGCAGCCCCCGTTGACATCTTAACTACAATCTCGTGAGAGACCTTCGGCTCAGAACCACCTAGCTAAGCTGATTCTGAGTTCTTGACCCACAGGAACTGTGTGAGAGAATAAATGTTTACTGTTGTTTTAAGTCGCTACATTTGGGGGCGGTTCGTTATGCATCAATAGGTACCGAATGCAGATTAGAAATTCCTTGAAAGTAGGATTCATGAGTTCTACCTATTTTACTTCAAGTTACTGCATCACCTCCCTTCCTACTTCCGCCTTGGAGATTAGAGCATACTGAAATATCTGGCAAAATATGGGAGGTGAAATGACATTCCCCTTGAAATTCAGTATGACACATCTGAATGAGGAAAACCAAGATGTCAATCGGTCCATTCTGACCGTTTTTTTATTTCTGAGGGTATTTACGAGTCCCCAGGGTGGAGGTGAGGATAAAGGAGTAGAATTCAGGTCTCAGGATGAGTATTGTTATTTGTCATTCTGGAATCCCCCAGAATTCTCCGTTCTCAGTTCGGGAGTGGAATATGTTCTTAGGCCTGGGTATATAGGGAAGCTTTGGTAAACGGGGAGTTTCCAGTATCCTATGGAAACTTCCAGTATCCAGAGGATACTGGAAACTCACCTGGACAAAGGAAGTGAGATAGTGCCTGGGGCGGGGGAAGGTGAAGTGTTGGCTCTCTTCACAGGATCACCTCAGGCACAAGTCCTTGCCCAGGGACCAGGTGAACATTGCACAGGCAGCCAGAACCAATGGCCAGCCCACTGTGAATCTGCATCAGCAGGAAGGAGCTTGAGTGAGGAGGGGCAGCTCTGTAGGCAATGGAGCAGAGATCAGAGACAGACTTGCACTGGGCCCAGACTCAGTACGTAGCAATACAGTTGTCCCTTCTTATCTGCAGGGGATATCTCCCTGGATACCTGAAACTTAGACGGTACTGAACCCTATACCTACTTTGTTTTTTCCTAAACACACATACCTATGATAACATTTAATTTATAAATTAGGCACAGTAAGAGATTAACAAGAGCAGTAAGACAATCATAATGACATATTGTGACGAAAGTTATAAATGTGATTTCTTTCTCAAAATATCTCTGTGCCTCCTTCTTCTTACGATGATCATATGAGATAATGCCTCCGTGATGAGATACAGAGAGGTGAATGACATCGGTTACTACTGACCTTCTGACATCTTGTCTGAGGCTCCTCTGCTTCTGGACCGCGGCTGACCGCAAGTAACTCAAACTGTAGAAAGTGAAACTGCAGACGGTGGGGGAGGAATGCTGCACAAAGGATATTACCTAGATGAGCATCACTTTATTTTTGACACAATAGTTTTAGATTCTTTGAGTTACAAGGTTGACTAGGGCCTCCAGCCTTCTCAGTACACAGAAGACTAGGAGGTCTGTGGACTTCACATCCCTGTGGCGGTGGATGCCCAGTGTGGGAACAGAGGTAGCACGAGTAGGGACACTAGGAACTCAGAACTTTCACTTCCCCTCCCCGCCACCCCCCCCCCCCCCAGTACATGGTTCCCTTAGTTTAGACACAGCTTATGCCTGGGGTCACACAGGGTTCTGTGGGTGCTATATGGGTCACCCTCAACAAGGGAAAGTCAATCACTGCTCAAAACAAAATAGCAGGTATTAGAGGAGGAAGATATTCTAGATACTGTCTAGTCCAATGTCCTCATTTTACAGATAAGGAAACCAAGGCCCAGAGAAATGAAGTAACTTGCCCAAGGTCATACAGCTAACGTGGGATAGAATCCAAGTACCTTTATCCCAAGTTAGTTCTTTCCACCCTGCCACGTTTGCCTTCCACTCTACGAATTCCCGTGTATCCCACTCCCATTTATCCTAACACTGAACCTCAAGTTCTGGATTATATTCAGAAGGTCCATTTCTAGACTTTTCTTTTCCAATGGAAGGGCAAAGATGAAGAGCTTCTGCTATGGTTTTCAGATAGAATGCTACCCCCTTTGCCTGCCTCCCTTTCTCCTGTCGCTCTCAGTGAAGAACTGAATCTATTTCTCCACATGCAGGAGGTTCTCACAGAAGTTCTGGGCTCCATTCAGCCTGTGGCAGGGGAAGCGGATGGGCACAATGCCCTGGGATGCCCTCCAGTTTGGCAGACTGATCGTATCCAACTGATGGTCATGGCCTGGTGCCCACTGGTAGGGAGGGTGCCCACCCATGCCTTTACTTGGTGCCTGGCATATCCACAGATGCCACATGGCTGGCGGGATACCTATGCTGCATCTCGTCTGATTTGCTGGTCCTGGTTTGTGTCACTTTTAGATTTGTGTATATATATGGCAGAATTTTAGAAGCATGGTCTCTCCATGGGTTTAAGATGCTGGCATTTCTAGACCGGCAGGCAGGACACCTCACTGCCAACCCAGGATCTGTGTTACACAGCCCAGACCTGGACGTCAGGAAACTCCTTCAAATGTCTCTGTGATCCCCTTCTTCCCATCCTTCTGCCACCTTAGAGTTCTTTGTATCCCTCCTTCCCAGCCTCGTATCAGAAGCTGAGAGGTCCTAGTGTGAGGTCAAAGTCTCCAAGAAAGGGAAGGAAGAAAATGGGGTGTAAATAGGTTTAGGTAAGTGGGGACTGGGAAGCAACAAAGGTACTTTGCTTATTCTCTCTCTCGGGCTTCAGAAGACTCTGGAAGCTGCTTATTGCCCAGTATTTTCCACTGCAACCCCAGGCAGACTTAGACTGCATCTCTACCTGCTGGACACCAAGGAGATCGACAACCCTGTTTTTAGCTTTCTCTTTGGAATATGGAGAGTAAAACTTCACTAATACTCCACCTTTATTCCAAGGTTAAATTCTTCCTTCTCAATCTGTTGAGGCCACATTTTTCTCTCTTAGAAACTGCCTTTTCAGAAGGCTGGACTCCAGGGAGAGCTGGGTACAATTTCCTTCCATATGCTATTCTTTCCCTCTCCAAAAGTCTCTAAGAGGCTGGATAAATGGCCTCACCTCCTTGCATCAGTTGCCCTAGGTGTGGGGGTGGTTGAAATCTATGCCCTTCTTCACACCTGTTAACTATGTCCACAAACAGAAAGCAGCAGGTAGGTGGGGTTATACTTAGGCATAGATCACAGGGTCCCTGTTCACCTTAGGGGCAGGGAGAAAAAAAGATAGATAAAGAATTGCCCTTGTCTCTATGTCCCCCACCTGACAGAGAGATATGGGAGATCCGGGGGGTGGGGTGTCCTCTCTACTGCTCTCCTCATACTCATGGCTGTTCTCTTCCCATGCCCACTAGCAAAGACAACTCCCTTAGGACCTACCAGCGATCATTCAATCATTTCATGGTGGAAACCATGAAAGTCATTTCAGAAGTGAAGGTCATTTGTAAGTAGTGACAGCTCTCAAATGAATCTTTTATTGGTGAAATGGGACAGTGTCAATAAATACCCTTAAAATTGAGTAGGACACACAATAGCGTCAATCCATGGACGGTACAGGGCTAGGGAAACAAATGACACCAGATCCAGAAATCTACTCTCCTTTCCCCGACTACATTGTGATCTACCAAGGTTAAGAAAAAACAGTCATTTCTTTTTTATTGTTTTGGATGCCTGACCTTGACTGAAAGGGTGCCCTCTGTCTTTCAAATTTTTGTTAAAAATTTTTTTAATGCTTATTTATTTTTGAGAGAGAGAGAGAGAGAGAGAAAGAGAGAGAGAGATACAGACCACAAGCAGGGGAGGGGCAGAAGAGAGGGAGACACAGAATCCACAGCAGGCTCTAAGCTCTGAGCTATCAGTACAGAGCCCACCGTGGGTCTTGAACCCACAGACTACAAGATCATGACCTGAGGCAAAGTTGGATGCTCAACCGATTGAGCCACCCAGGCGCCCCTCAAATTTTTGTTTTAAAAATTGGAAATCAAGGAGTAAAGACAACGTATGGGGATAATCTTGTGCTGTGTGAACATCATGTCATCTGTGTATTAAATATCCTCAGTTTATTCACTACAGTGCTTACAGTTAACACTATTAAAAACTTTAGTGCACGTCCCCCCATTTATACCTTTAAAAAAATGTTTATTTACTTTGAGAGAGAAAGACAGAGAACTCAGGGGAGGGGCAGGGAGAGAAGACAGAATCCCAAGTTGACAGTGCACAGCCTGACGCGGGGCTTGATCTTAGCAACAGTGAGATCATGACCTGAGCCGAGATCAAGAGTCCAATGCTTAACCCACTGAGCCACCCAGGTGTCCCTCCCATTTATGCCTTTAAGTGATCTTATGATTCAGGTACCGTTCCTTTATTATCTCATATTCTTAATAGTTACTATACTATACTCTTTACTTTGTGATTAGTGTGTACAGTTTTAAGGATCCATGAAGGACCTAGGTCCTTAAAAACTCAAATAGTGTGAATATCTTCCTTGTGAATTCCTAAAAAGCCTTTATTCAAAGTAACATGTACTTTTAGAAACCTTACTGTATAGGAGAATGACGTGAGGTGTATTGTGAAAAACAGAGTCCTGTGTGCTGCTTCCAGATATTCTGATTTAGTAAGTCTGGACCAAAGCCCAGGCATCTGCATTTTAAAATAAGCACCCAAGTAATTATGATGTAGGTGATATTTGGATTACGCTTTGAGAAACGGTGCCTTTGACTATAAAAGGCCCGAGGACAGGACTGTAACTATAACAAATCTTCATGTGTACATCCCATTTAATTTGCTGCATGTAGCAATAGATACGGCATCGGAGTTTGGATCATCCTTGGCTAAGGACTAAACCCTGCTCATTCACTGTCATCTCATTTATCTTCTGCACTGAGGACAGGCAGCCCTGGGCCTGCCCGTCCGTTAGAGGCCCTTGGAAAAGAGGCTGTGTGTTACATGTTGAGTGGCTTTCTCTTTTGCTTATCCAAAATATGTCTGTGCAAAGTTTTGGTAAAGGCTGTACACTCTGACATACTGGCCCTGGTGATTCTGCAGCCTTCACCGGAGGGGCCTGAGGAGAAGCTGTCATTTTGTTCTCTACGTTTTGAAATGCACAGCTCAGGGGGCGGGGTGAAGGGTGGAGAGCCCGGGGACTAAACTGGAGTTGGTAAACACGCGTGAAGCAAGCTAAGAAAGCATATTAGCAGGGGAGGAATGACAAGGGCTGCACGCGGAGCCTGGAACAACACAGATTTCTCTGAAAAAAGACAGCACCAGTCGCCGCCGGTGTCTATTTTGAAGGAAATAACAACTAAAAACAGTACCGACCCTTGGCTAACATCTGAAGGTTTGTCTGGAAATTGTGTTCTGAAAAGAAGTTTGCATCAGAGAAGCAAGAGAATGAAGGGCAAGTCTTGAAGGAAAAAGAAAAAATAGGCCAAAAAAAAAAAAAAAATCCAGCAAGCACCTCAAATAGCCCAAAGGAGGTTGCAGGGACACGGGGAAAGCTCTATTTAATCTCTTGCCTAGCTAACACAGCCTGGAGGCAGCTTTTAATGCACTTTTTTTTTTTTTTTTATAACAAGCCTCGTTTTTGAGGTTGTGATGAGCCTTTCTAGCTCCTGGAATCAGTGATGATTCTTTAAAGAATTTCTTTTCCCCTTGACACCTGGGGACAGATTAACCAAAACCCCAGACTGGAAAGTAGGGAACTCCAAAGTTGCTCTGGTGTGCTTTTAAAACACTCTATGTGAGGGGCACCTGGGTGGCTCAGTCGGTTAAGCATCCGACTTCGGCTCAGGTCATGATCTCGCGGTTCGTGAGTTCGAGCCCCGCGTCGGGCTCTGTGCTGACAGCTCAGAGCCTGGAGCCTGTTTTAGATTCTGTGTCTCCCTCTCTCTCTCTGACCCTCCCCCGTTCATGCTGTCTCTCCCTGTCTCAAAAATAAATAAACGTTAAAAAAAAATTAAAAAAAAATAAATAAAACACTCTGTGACTCGGCATGGTGAAGCAAAACCCCATCACTTTCTACGTTACTTTCTGCTTCTCTCACCTCATCTAGATGGCCTCAGAGAATATTTTAAGGTTGACAGGAAAATTTTACAGAATGGTCAAAAAGTAAAGAAAGCCCTAAAAATGGTTGTATAATCTTCCTCTTAAAAAAAAAAAAAACAACACTAATGTGTTTTGGGGGCGCCTGGGTGGCTCCGTCGGTTGAATGTCCGACTCTTGATTTTGGCTCAGGTCATGATCCCAGGGTTGTGGAGTAGAGCCCTGCGCTAGGCTCCGTGCAGAGTGGAGTCTGTGGAGATTCTCTCTACTCCTGCCCCCTTCCGCCCCCCACGCCTGCACTCTCTTTCTCTAAAATAAATAAAAAATGTTTTTCAATTGAATAACTAAGAAAACAGAATTGTAGGGTTGGATTGAACCTCGGAGGTTATCTAAGTTCAGTCTCACTTTATGAAGACAGTTATGAGGCACAGAAAAGTTGAAGGTTTCCAAGGTTGCGGGGCTGGTCTTAGATTGAAGGTGTTTGTACGGACTCTCAGTTCAATGTCACTTCTGTCAACTGCTTTCATAACCACTTTTCTCAAGTAGTTTTTGCCTGCCCTTGTCCACTTAGTACTCACGTACTGTAGCAACAAATTTTTGGCTTTTTTTTTTTTTTTAGCAGGGGGGCAGGTTGCCATATGGTACTTTTTTCTTTGAACTTTGAAAGTAACCAATTTCCTCATGAAAAAAAAAAAAAAAGAGTGACCTAATCTTATTGTAAAACAAATATTCAAAAACCTCAACAGGCCCTAGAGTAAACTCTCAGTGCTTCAGGTGCTGACTATCTAGTTTCCTTTTTCCTTCCTCTGCTGACCATGCATTCGGATGTTTACATCGGTCAGTAGCTCTGTAAAACTCCGATACTATATATGTTGTAGGACTGTTTGTGGCAGCTTCCTGATCCCTGTATTGTAGCTATGGCGCCATGTTCTCAAACTCAGTATTTCAGCGGCCATCGGAGACTGCAGCTCCCCAGGTGGGTTAGTTCAGTAGTGTTCTGGGAATCATTCCTAGAGGCCCCGCCATAGTCTGCTTCTCCAGCTATTCAAGTGATTTTGTAAGCACTTAATGCTCTGCATTAAGTTTCCTTTTTCCTTAAGAATACTGAGATACTGTGAGTTTCTGTTTCCTGTTCTAAACCTTGCCTGATGCAGGCATTTAGAAGATAATTATAACACAACTCAGTAAATGCTATTAAAAATAGTGTGAACAGGGGCGCCTGGGTATCTCAGTCAGTTAAAAGTGTCTGACTTCGGCTCAGGTCACGATCTCACGGTTCGTGGGTTCAGGCCCCGTGTCGGGCTCTGTGCTGACAGCTCAGAGCCTGTAGCCTGCTTCCGATTCTGTGTCTCCCTCTCTCTCTGCCCCTTGCCCACTCACACACCCTATCTCTCTCTCTCAGAAAGTAAATAAACATTAAAAATATAGTGTGAACAGAGGACAGTAGGAGCCTAGATCAGAGAGGCTGGAATAGTTATCCAAGGAGATAACATTTGAGTTGGAACTTGAAGGTGGAAGATGCTAAGCAGAAAAGTGTTGGCACAGGAGGAAACGAATGCATTTTAGGAAACGATGTACCAAGGTATAGTCACTAAACAGCACAGTGTTGGAGAGATGGTGAGTTCATTATAGTTTGACTATGAGCAAGGTGGGGAGACAGCAGGGCTGGAGCAAGAATAAAACACAGTGGGATTAAGAATACTGCCTTTAGGGGCACCTGGGTGGCTCAGTTGGTTAAGCATCCAGCTCGGATCAGGTCAAGATCTCGCGGTTGGTGAGTTCGAGCCCCACATCGGGCTCTGTGCTGACAGCTCGGAGCCTGGAGTCTGCTTCAGATTCTGTCTCTATCTCTCTCTGCCCCTCCCCTGCTCACGCTCTGTCTCTCTGTCTGTCTCTTTCCCTCAAATATAAATAAACATTAAAAAAAAAAAAAGAGTACTGCCTTTAGGGGGCGCCTGGGTGGTTCAGTCAGTTGAGCATCTGACTTCGGCTCAGGTCATGATATCACAGTTGGTGGGTTCGAGCCCCGCATCGGGCTTTGTGCTGACAGCTTGGAGCCTGGAGCCTGCTTCAGATTCTGTGTCTCTCTCTCTCTCTCTCTCTCTGCCTCTTCCCTGCTCACACTCTGTCTCTCTCTCAAAAATAACAAACATTGAAAAAAAACAAAAAGAGAATACTGCCTTTAGGGGTCACAGACCTAACTCCAATTCTTGTTCCTCCATACAGTAATTAAGTAACTCTGGTCAAATCTTGTATATTCTATAATCCACAGTTTCCTCATCTACCAAATGGGGACCTAATAATATCTACTTCATGGGCTTATGTGGAATTAATTGGAATTAATTAATTAAAAATTAATTTTTTAAGTGTTTATTTACTTTTGAGAGAGATAGAGAGACACAGCTCGAGCAGGGGAGGGGCAGAGAGAGAGGGAGACACAGAATCCGAAGCAGGCTCCAGGTTCTGAGCTGTCAGCACAGAGCCCAACTCGGCACTTGAACTCATGAACTGTGAGATCGTGACCTGAGCCGAAGTCGGATGCTCAACCGACTGAGACACCCAGGCGCCCCACATACAATGTGCTTTTGTACAGTGCTTGGCACATCAAATGCTCAAAAAGCCTCTGCAACTATTATTAGGTAAATTGGGAAAGAATTACTAGGTAAAATTTTTTTTAATGTTTATTTAGAGAGAGAGAGAGAAAGAGAGAGAGAGAATGGGGGAGAGGCAGAGCGAGAGAGGGAGAGAATCCTGGGCAGGCTCTGCACTGTCAGCACTGGGCCCAACTCAGGGCTTGAATCCATGAACTGTGTGATCAGGGCCTGAGCTGAAACCACGAGTTGGACGCTTCACCCGCTGACCACCCACCCAGAAGTCCTAGGTGTGTGTTTTTTAAAAGAACAAATGTAACCTTAGCATTTTTGGAGCTTAAAGGCTATTTATTTATTTATTTATAAAATAAAATTTTTTTTCAATGTTTATTTTTGACAGAGAGAGACAGAGCATGAGCGGGGAAGGGGCAGAGAGAGAGGAAGACACAGAATCCCAAGAAGGCTCCAGGCTCCGAGCTGTCAGCACAGAACCCGAGACCTCAGGGCTTGAACCCACAGACCACGAGATCATGACCTGAGCCGAAGTTGGATGCTCAACCGACTGAGCCACCCAGGCGCCCCAAAGGCTATTTATTAACGAAAAGTATGACACATAAAAAGAGTTTAAGAGAAATAAAATTAAGGTAAAGAGAAAAGAGCAAATAACTTCTGGAAGATAGTGGAGGATAGAAGTGGGTGTGACAGCCAGCCTCCAAGGTAGCTCCCGGTGATCCTTGTGCTGGTGCTCCTGTAAAACCCCCTGCTACAGCTCAGCTGTGTAACCAAAAGCATACTGTGGAAATGATACTGTGTAACTCTTGGTAGGTCATAAAATAATTTACGGTTTCCAACTTGCTCTTAACTTACTCTCTCTGAAGGGAGGCAGCTGACATGTTGTGAAGACACTCAGATTTCTGCCAACAACCAACACTGATCTGCCAAGCGAGTAAGTGAGCCACCTTAGAAGCAAAACCTCCAACCTCGGTCAAGTGTACAGGAAACTGCAGCACGGGCTGACATCTTGACTGCAATCACATAAAAGACCCCAAACCAGGATCACCCGCCTAAGTCACTCCTTACCCATAGAAACTGTGAAGGTAATAGATGTTTATTATTGGTTTATCCACTAAGCTTTGGGGAAATGTTATGCACCAACAGATAACTAATACACTGGGATACAGAGCAGGTAGCAAGGGTGAGGTTAGCCTTGGAGAGGAAGCATACCCCTGAGATAAAGGCAAAGTGGATGCTCTAAGAGTTTAGTCTGGAGATGGGAAAAAGAGGAAGCTAAGTTTGATGACCACTATTTTCTCTAGAGAGTAAGAGGCAAAGCCATCTGCTGAAAGTAAGGATGGGAAATAGGGACTATAAAGTTGAGAACAATAGGGGCGCCTGGGTGACTCAGTTAAGTGTCCAACATCGGCTCAGGTCATGATCTCACAGTTTGTGGGTTCGAGTCCCGCATCAGGCTCTGTGCTGACAGCTTATAGCTTGGTGCTTGCTTCGGATTGTGTCTCCCTCTCTCTCTGTCCCTCCCCTGCTTGCACTCTGTCTCTCTCTCAAAAATAAATAAAACATTAAAAAAAATTAAAAAAAGATAAAGTTGAGAATAAAAAGGGTGCAGTGGTCACCAGGTAAATTTGAAAAAGCCAAACAAGAATGAATACCCGAGTTAAGAAATCATACATCTGCAGTGGAGTCAGTTGGCATATTTAGGCGATTTTCTACCACCATGCTCAAGAACCCAGAAGAAATAGGGTGTAAGAGATAGTGGGTTCCACTTGACTTGGGAATTGGTGACGCAGAGACAGTAAAAAAGCAATGTGGTCAAGAGAATTCAGGGTGCTGATTTAGGCCACCGGAGTGACTATGAAGTCCAAGGTGACAGACATGGAAATGAGTTCAAAAGGAAACTCACAGCCTGGGAGAGTGAGAGGTTGGGTGCAAATTACCATTTAGGGAAACAGGAAGGGTCTAGAAGCCAAAAGCAGTAAATTAGAAATCAGAAGTCCCAGGTTATGGTCACAGCTCAGTACTAATAAGCCACGGATCCTTGGCAAAGATAGTTTTCTGGGCCTCTTTTTCCTCCACCCTGGGTTAAAGTATGTAAAATGTCAGGTAAGAACAGTGGTTTGCCTAAAGTAAGCACTCTGCAACTATGTAATACTTGTTCCTCATGTTTTAAAGTTATATAGTATTTATTCATTTTATTTTTTAAAATATTTATTTTTGAGAGACAGAGTGGAAGTAGGGGAGGGGCAGAGAGAGAGGGAGACAGAGAATCTGAAGCAGGTTCCAGGCTCTGAGCTGTCAGCACAGAGCCGGATGTGGGGCTCGAACCCACAAACCATGAGATCATGACCTGAGCCGAGGTCGGACGCTTAACTGACTGAGCCACCCAGTCTCTGTGCTGACAGCTCATAGCCTGGTGCTATGTTATATAGTATTTAATGCCCAGTTATATAGTATTTAATACACACGTCTGAAGCATCAGATAAACACCAGGAAACCTACCACCCAACTTATTGAATAGAATAATATACTGTGTTTTTCCCTAATCCCATCCCCGCAGCTTCTCCACTGGAGATAACCACTGTCTTGAAGTTTGTGTTTATCATTCCCTATCTGTGTCTGTCTGTCTATCTATCTATCCATCTAAGAGAGAGCATAAGTGGAGAAGCATGGCATAGGGGAGAAAGAGAATCTTAAGCAGGCTCCACGCTCAGCACAGAGCCCGACACGGGGCTTGATCCCACAACCCTGGAATCATGACCAGAGTCGAAATCAAAAGTCAGACTCTCAACTTACTAAGCCACCACCCAGGAACCCCCCCCCCCCCCCGGTTTTTTTTTTTTTTTTTCGAATGTTCCACATTTGTACAGCACCTATTTCTTCATATGTAAGATAAAGCTTTGCTCTTAAACTCCCCTCCAGCTCCAAGGCTATGAGATATGATTGGGTGGGCATCAAAGTTACACACCTAGCAGAACCATATGTTTTTCAAGGGCTTTATAAAGCTACAACACTGACTCTTCTGTTGACATCTCCAATTCAACAAAAGGATATCTCAGTGGAGCTTCTAACTTCAAAATCAAAACTTCCCATCACTTTTAATTTGTACCTCTGCTAGAAAGTTCTCCTCTACAGAAAACCAACACAAGGAGCAAATAATCTGTCACCTTGTCCAATGAAAACCTAGAACCCAAGCCTGAGAATGAACTAGAAAGCAGACTTCATTTCAATGACAAGCACTTTATTTTTTTTAACGTTATTTTTGAGACAGAGAGAGACAGCATGAACGGGGGAGGGTCAGAGAGGGAGGGAGACACAGAATCCGAAGCAGGCTCCAGGCTCCGAGCTGTCAGCACAGAGCCTGATGTGGGGCCCAGACCCACGGACTGTGAGATCATGACCTGAGCCGAAGTCAGGCGCTCAACTGACTGAGCCACCCAGGCGCCCCTCAATGACAAGCATTTTAATAAAAACGAAGAGGCATGGTTGGGTTACTATGAAATATTTCATACAACCTGGATTTACATCCTCCATAAAAATGTGTAGGTCTTCTTGTCTTCATGTTTCTTCAAAGGCTCTTCCACTATTTTAGTTTTTATACAAAACAGTCTTTAAGGTAAACACAAATGCAAATCTGCTGACCATATGGTTGTTCTCCAGGGGTACTGTCTGGCCTAGGATGCTATTTTTCCTAGCTATAGACAATCTTAACTTTTATATCTGTCTCACCAGTTACCAAGTTTATGAGTTAAGCGAGTTGGACCAGGCAGTGGAATTGCTGTGTAAAGGGCAAATGTCCTGTTCATACAAAGGTCTGCATTGGTCAGACCTCAGTACAGCTATTATAGAAAGTCACCTGAGACTGTTGGTACTGGGGTAGCAGGTTAATAGTGTCCTCAGTGGCTTCTGAAGAGGCCAGGACTGTAAAGTAGGATGTGAATGTGTTCTGGACCTTAATCGTACCAGGAAGACAGTGATCAAAAGAATGAGTGGTCACTACAGTATTTTTCTCATAGAATTTTGGTGGTTTTCCTTATGCTACCCACTGAGTTGGCACAAGAAAACGTGTATTTTTAAAAATTTTTTTGTAATGTTTATTTTTTGTATTTTTGAGAGAGACAGACTGTGAGTGGGGGAGGGGCAGAGTAAGAGGGAGACACAGAATCTGAGGCAGGCTCCCAACGCAGGGCCTGAACTCCCGAACTGTGAGATCATGACCTGGGCCGAAGTCGGACAGTTAACTGACTGAGCCATCCAGGCACCCTGGAAAATGTGTATTTTCTTAAAGGTCTCCTTTCCAAGGCCAGTCCTGCTTCAATCATTTAAAATATAGTATACAAATCACCTTGATTTTTATAACCTGCCTCTTTAAAAATGGTAATATAAACACAATGTTATCTCCTTAGTGTCTGCCTACTTTAAAGCTTAAAATGAACTGGGAAAAGTAACACTAAAGGACTCCAAGAATGCCAGTATAGGTATATACATTTTGTCTAAGAGATTAACGAGGAAAAGGTACTACCATGCATTACTTGAAATTAAATCCAGATATTCTCCTTGTTTAGCTCGGGTACAGCTACCAGGAGAGCTCAGAATCATTTTTACCTCCACGTGTTTATCCCTGGTAAGAACATTTGCAAATCACAATGGCACTTCTAGAACCCCTACAGCGAAAGGCAATCTTCCAAAAAGCAAATCCTCTCCTTGGGGTAGAGTATGGAAGCCTTGGATAAGATTGAAATGCGGGCCTCAAAGGCTCTCTGGGCTAAGCTTGTGAAATACCTCTGCATTTAACCTGTAACACTTGACTTTAACTGAAATTAAGGCAGAATATTCAGCTGCTTACCTGTCCACATTCCAAAGGGAAGTCATCCTCTGAAAAAGAGGATCTCACAGAGAAGTTTCTCCTTCCCAATTCTGACAGATGTATAGACTTAGTCACTTCTTTATTCTAGTTTTTGGGAATTTCCAAAAATCTCTAGTAAACTAAATCCAGACTAGTGAATTCTAGGCCCAATAAACATCCCAAGTAGTCCCTGAAAGCTCCTGGACCAGACAAATTGGCTGCTTTAATCATTAGTTTACTAAAGAAACAGCAGGCTTGTTTATTTTGTGAGCTAATGAAATTAACAGAGGTAGGCATTCTCCTACAGTGAGTGGTACTCACACTCGAAAAGGTCAGATGTTTTGTGACTTTGTGATTTCTGATTCTTTTGTTGAGTTGTATTCAAGCAGTTAATTCTTTGCAATGAGACTCACACCCCTGCTTGTTCTTCCTAAATTGGTTAGGTGTTCTGGATTACAACTACAGAATAGACAGTTTTGTTGTTATCACCCAAACAAATGAAATCAACAGGGATTTGTAATTTTCCAGTAAGACGAGTACTTTTAAAACGTTAGGTTGTGAGGTATTGGTTGATATACAAATAACCAGATTTAGTGGCATAATGGGTGTTTTTTCCCCCGTCCATACATTATCACCATCTCCAGAGGAAAAGGTTTAGTTATTCACTTAAGATCACACAGCTAGAAGCAGAAATACCTTGTACTGGGGCTTATCTTGAACCTGTTTTTAGAGACGGCAACTAAATAAACTGCTCTGCTTTATTAGGAGAGAATCCAATGGAAAACTCATGAAAGGAGGCATTCCATAAAAGCCCACTCTCCCTTATCTGTTACCCACAAACAATGCTAGACAGATCATTTTTGAAATTATTTGTAAGTATGCTTCATCCAAATCCTTATCTATACCACATCCTATATCCTTCTCCATGCAGACTTCAAACCAAACTAAACCTGAAAAAGCCAACCAATCAACAAAAACAAAAAACCAAAAACGCACCGATAATCCAAATAAACAAACAAAAAAACTGGTCTGGGGAAATCATGAGGTTTCCTCTTGAGGGCCAACCAGATGCTAGGACAGCCTGAGCTTTGGGTGTTTCAGAAATTGAACTTACTCTACACAAATCCCAGGGTAGTCGGCAGGGCCATCACAAATTTAAGCTTTGAAGCTTAATCAAATTTCACACACAGGTGGAAAGCCTATCTCTTCCCCACACATACATTGTTCCTCTCCATTCCAATCTTCACTCCTACATAATCTACACCTGGTTTGACACCGAGTACAATTTCCAGCTGGAATGTGGGAGAGATGAAAAGAAACCTACCCTAGGTTGGAAATATTCAGAGAGCAAGATGTTCTAAGATTTTAACCAAGAATGGGGTATATTGCTATATAAATGCTATCAACATCTTGAGGACTCTGGATAAAAAGATGCACTGATCAAAAAAGGCCCATTCCTATAAATTCTAAAAAGAAGCTGGCCGATGTGTGTCAGAGAACATAAATACAGTTATTATTTTTTTCCAACCCAAGTTTCTTGCCTGCTTTAGCTGGATCCTTTAAGATAACTTTAAATAATTATGTTTCATTAATGTGGAACAGGATGTGATTTCTGATCTTGGGGCTGCAGGTACTTAATGAAACTATCAAGCTATCTATGTTGATGCTTTATTTGAAGCAGTTCTTCTGAGTTTGAGAGTTCTTTCCTGCATCAAATGAATGAGACTCAAAGCAGGGAGGAAAAAACAAAAAGGTACTTGTCAGTTTGAAAGTCACAGTTTATCTTTCTATAATTAGATTAGGAGAAAAAAAAAAATGAAGAACCCATTGGTAGCAGGAAGAAGCAAGAGTCTTCTAGGGTCTGGCATCTGCAAGGAAATGAGAGAAAAAGAAGAGATCTTAGTTCCTGTCAGTGATAAAAACACCAACTACATCTGACAACAGGCCACACAACCTGATTAAAATCTCTTGGTCAGCTGGAAGAATCTGCTATTGTTAATGGCAGAACACCAAGTACCTTCTGACCCTTAACTTTTCAGTTCCACTAAGCACACAGAAACTTGTTAATTGAATTAAAAACATTCTACACAGAGATCGATGTACACTCCTTGTGTCAACAGTTTCATGAGTGAGAAGAAAATCAGAATTGACTATCCATACAATTGACTCCTAGAGACAATTCTGGATTAATTTCAACTAACATATTTATCTTTTTCTCTTCTCACATACTCTATCTACTCATTAGTTCAGTAATATTTTTTGAGCTGTTTACAATGCACATTAGGGGAACAAAAATTAATATATCACCTGCTTCGAGACACTTACCTAGTAAAAAGATTTGTTGATAAAAACACAATGAGATAAAAGCATAGTAAATGCAAGGTGAACCGACCCTTTTTATGTATATGTATTCAAAAAAATCTCCACCCATACTTAAGTTCCTTAAGGGAGAAAGTCCTATCTTCTATCTCTTTTTTTATCTTTCCAAAGAAGCTACAGCATTCTACAACAGGCATTCAAAATATGATGCTTTATTTTTTATTAAGAGAATAAAAAGGTCTGTGGCTGTTTAAGGATTCTTACCTAAACTAGGATAATTTTTTTCCCTTGGTTCCTCAGAGGTTATACAGAAAAATACATTTTCAGCATGTAAGGGGTTTAACAGCAAAGAGTTAAGTTCCAAAGGAGAGGAACATCTAGTATTCAGTGTTAGAGACAGGAGCTTTTCCTAGGCTTTCATCTTAGAGTAACTTTCTTTTTGTTTTTGTTTTTTTTGGTAATCTCTACACCCAATGTGGGGCTCGAACTCGCAACTCCAAGATCAAGAGTTGCATGCTCTTCTGAGTCAGCCAGTCGCCCCTAGACCATTTTTATTAGGTAGCTATCCAGTGGAGATGAGCACCAAGCATCTTGGGAGGCATGTCAGAGAAGGCTTCAAAGTTCGCCATTCATCCAGGTCAGTGTGTGCTTTCCTGGCACACCCCAGTGCTGCTGTAGCACTTTCTCTTCTGGGGCCAAATCTAATTTTCTGGTTTCCAGATGTATTTAACCATGTGACATCAGAACCTACCAAGAAAAATGGATAGTACCTAGAAGCAACTTGTAAATATTATTGTCCGTGGCTAAAGGGTGTTTGCTTTTAGAATCTCTTTTCTGCTTCTCACTAGAAGAAACATCAGTTTTGGTACAACATGAACCCTAACTCACAGGAGATCCACCTGCTTCACGTCCCGAGGAAGCGAATGAACTGGAAGGCATCAGGCCAATTACTCATTAAGTAAATATTCACAGAGAGCCTACTATCTGCATGACAGTGGGGATATCATCTCCTCCCTAGACTAATAATATTCCTTTTGCCAGGAGCAAGACGGCCAGGCAACCTCAACCAAAATAGCATTTGAAGCATCAAATTTGGCTCTGCCATAGGTGTACAGGGTTACCTCAAGGAAAGGCTTTCTCTGTAAAAAGATTTTGCTCCCTTCATATAGATTTTGTGAGATTCTACTAAATCAGGTATTCAGATAAGATCGACAGTGCAAGACTCTTAGAGACCCCAAACTTTTAAGTGCTCATTAAAAGGAGTGAATTTTTTGATGAGTGTTAAACTGTACAGCACAGGGAAAAATTGCAGAGCAGTGAAGCACAGCTCTCTGATTAATCTCAAGCCCATTAAAAAGGCATGATAGATCTAGAATGCAACTTTGATAAAAAAAAAGAAGAAAAGAAAAAGGAAAAAGGCAATGTGTATTAACGTTAGGGAAAGCAACTTGGCATGTTAACAGAATTCTAATTTAACCAGTAAATGCCTATTCATTAGCGTGTAAAGCCATAATAGAAGCTATATACTTAAAAAACAGAGGCACACACAAAGCTTTAATTTGGTACCATAATCTGAAAGAAAATTGGACCCAAATTGCTTTATGTCCAGTTAAATCTTGCTACCTTCTGAAGAGATAGTGAAATAAAACTGAAACACTTACTTGATGAGATAGATATTCAGTTACTGTGCATTTCCATCTATGGAGTAGAAATATTTCAAAATAAATACACCATGACAACTGAAACTCACTCCATTCCCTATTCTTACTAAACACAAATGACTTGGGGCGCCTGGGTGGCGCAGTCGGTTAAGCGTCCGACTTCAGCCAGGTCATGATCTCGCGGTCCGTGAGTTCGAGCCCCGCGTCGGGCTCTGGGCTGATGGCTCGGAGCCTGGAGCCTGCTTCCGATTCTGTGTCTCCCTCTCTCTCTGCCCCTCCCCCGTTCATACTCTGTCTCTCTCTGTCCCAAAAATAAAATAAAAAACGTTGAAAAAAAAAAAAAAATTTAAACACAAATGACTTATTCCTGGGGTAGGCTGAATTACAGTATAAAAGTAGAAGAATTCAAAATTAGTGATTGGGTTCTACTCAAATGCATGGGAAAAGAATAGTTCATTCATTACCTATCAAGCCTTCAGGCATAGGATTTGGTGATCTCATTTTTTTTGGAAACGGAAGTATCCAAAGGGAAATGTTTTAAAGGGAATCTTTTAGCCACCTACAAAATTAGCTCCAACAGCAGCAGAGACTGAGATCAAGGGAATGTGCATTTGGGAGCAACATTAGGAAAGTACGTATTAAATAAAAATGACAGTATCTTGGGTGTGGGAATTTATCGGGGTGATATGATATGAATTCAGTACCTATTTACCCAGAACGGCCTCTGATGCCTAGGGAAGACATCGGAATACTATTCTTAATGCCAGTTCTTCTGACTTATTACTTTCATTTTCTCTCTTTCATCTCCTTTTAGGTCTCTGCAATCCATTTCGAATCCCAGTTTCCTATTGATATTATGCCTTGAATGTCAGGGATGACTTCCTCCTAGGCAAAATTAATAGCTTTTTTATTGGTCCCCAAATTTGCCCATGGTATTTGATGTCAGTGGTCACCCCAACTTGAGCACATTCTTTTGGTTTCTGAGATCCTGTACTTTCCTGTTATTAACCAGGGCCAGGGCTAGGGTGAAGAAAGCGAAGTGCTCAGAATGCAAAATTCAAGGAGGCACTCACTCTCAGGGTCATGCGAGTGTAATGTGTTCACACTGAACACGTTTTTTGGCTAGTCAAGACCAACTGTATTTAGCACAATGAAAAGAATAAAAGCATTTTGCCTTTATTTCACTTACTGTTTTTCCACGGCAGAACATACGGCAGAGACTTGGGAACACGCATGCCTGAAGCCAGGTTACTCTTATGTTCCATAACTATGTTGCTTGCAGGACTGCAAAAAGAAAGACAAATTTGCCTATGCCCGCCTATCTGTATTCTCCAGGCAGGCACACACAAGACCATCAAAAATGTGTTTTTTGTAATTTGGGGGAAAACAGCAAACTACATTCTGACATGTAAACACATTTCCATCAAAACATTCTTGCAATTAGAATGATTACTACTTCTCTGAAAAGCTCACTGTTCTGTAAAAGCATTAAGATGGGTCTGACCATTTTCATTTTCCAGAAATTGAGATAAACAGCAATGCCATCTACTGTTCGGTTGTGTGACAGGCTCATCAACTCACTCAACAAATATGAGAGATAAAATGCCAAGACAACCAAACCAAAGGCAACACATCTCATAGGACGGAGGGAAAATTAAAACTGTACTATTAAAATTCATCTTCAAGTTCTTTTATTTTAGTGCACACACACAATAAGGTACACGTGCAATTGTTAACTTATCTTAGGAGTTAATAAAAATTGATAAGCATTCTATTTGGGGAAAAATGAAGTCTAGCATCTCATTCCTTCATTTTCTAATCCATAAATATTTTCATTTCTGAATATTTGCAATTTGGTCTTGTTTGAAGATGAAGCAGTAATGAGAAAACTTTTTTTTTTAAAGTTTATTTGGGGGGGAGAGAGGGAGGGAGGGGGAAAGAGGGAGGGAGGGAGGGGGAGAGGGAGAGAGGGAGGGAGGGAGGGAGGGAGGGAGAGAATATGAGAACGAATCAGTGAATATGCAGAAATGAGCAGGGGAGACAGAACCCCAAGCAGGCTCCACTCCCTGATCTCATGAACCATGAAATCACGACCACGACCTGAGCTGAAATGTAGAGTTGGGATGCTCAACAGACTGAACCACCCAGGCTCCCCAGTAATGAGAAATCTTATAGATTTAGATACAAATCAGTGGAAAGAAGAGATGCATTTTCTTCCCTACCCAAAGGTACTCTGGCTTATCCAGTTTCAAGTCACAAACTTTTAAGATTATTTTTCCTTAGACACTAGCTACCCAGAGTAAAACTGATCCATGTGGTGTAGCTGGAGAATTTTTTTCAAAGTGTTTAAATACCGTGAACCTAGCAAAAAAACCAAACAGACACAAGAATGTCTCGTACCACTGTCTCCCTTGCTAGGCTATAAGCTAGTATTTTTGTGTTCCCATAGTGATTAACACAAAGCATGTGACTTTTTTATGAACTGAGGAATAAAAAAGGAAAATAACTCGTCAAAACCACATCTAGACTACATTACCACCAAGTAACATCATTAAGGAACGAGATCAAATCAGGCTTTGGTGGCTTCCTTTGGTAACAGAGCACTTGGATTTTGGGAGGCAGTGCTGGGAATGAGACCATTTCATTTACCTGTTGTTGCCACAGTAGTTGGCTGTGCCCCAGACAAATGGGGTGCTGGTCTGTTCCCACAGATCTGCCAAAGAAAGCAAAACACAGTTTGTGGTGCTGTAGTTTATGCTAGTTGAATCTGTGAGGTGGGAAATAATACACCTAAGTTTAGAGAAGCAAGTAAAAATTGATCAAGTACCCTGCCTGACACAGTAGCAGGAATTTAATTGAAGGATATAAACACAGCAACATAAATAATAATAAACGTGCCCAGTAACAACCAAACACAGATGGTACAACACAATTTATGGAAAAAAACAGATGTAAAGAAGTGCTTCTTCCAATCAAGAGGGATAGGCCGTTCCACGTGTCTGCACAGTGATACAAATGTGCTCGTTCTGGGGCCCAATAAAAATAATAAGGCATTCTGCACAACATGGTGTGCTCATAAAAAAGGAAAATCTTCCTTCTGTCTAAAGCAAATGACTTGAGAATTTAGACACTGTGAAGAAAAAGACATAGAAACACTTCACCTTTATCCCAGTCTTCATCACAAGGAGGGCACTGCCAGGTGCTCTCAGCCAGAGTCTCTTGTCCAAGGTTCCTGGTTTGGTTGACTGCAAGATAATAAAGACTCTGCTGTAAGAAGGGGACATCGCCAATTATGTTAAAAGGGGTCAATGGCCTAAAAGGTTGCAGGGTAGCCTAACAGGTCTTTGTTTCTGAAAAATGGATGCTACAAAAGCTAAACAGAGAGGTCTTATCCCTTTGCTGACAGAAGAAAGAGAAGCAGGAACAAAGACATTTATCATATTTACGGCAATAAAATGATTCTTATTTTTAGATGAATTATTGGTAAAATGGATCAGGCTGTTCAGAAGGGAAAGCAGTCTGACAAACACAACCTGACAACCTGTTACTGATGAGATAAAAAACTCAAAGGCAGAAAGGTATTATTCTTCTCAAATGATGAAAGTCAAAAATCAAGGTGACAACATAGCACAATACATAGCTAGGGCTAACCTCTAGCACTGGAACATTTTAGCTAGTCTTACCAACATCCTGCTCAATACAACTTTTATCGTCACAGCTTGAGATGTGGTGGCTGATTTCGGCCCGAGGAACCTGGTGGCGAGCATTGAAGGGACAAGTAGCCAATTTGTTTGCAACATCAGGATGATTCTGCAGAACACAAATTAAGGGGTCTGTCAAAATAAGGTGGTTTATTCTATAAACGACTCCACTAATATCTCTCAATAAACTTGTGGCTTAACTATGGGAGGCAAACTCATGGTAGAAAAGTGAGAGGGAATCATTTATCACTCACACAGACTGTACAGGTGACCTCAAGATCATCAAAACATAAGCTTCTTTGTTAGGATCGCAGAGACTGACAACACAGATACTGGGTCAAAAGTGGCTTATACGGAAGGACATGGTGAATTTCGGATTGGGTATTTGAGCCATCTTTCTCAGGGTCACAAGACTCTGGCAGCACAGCCTATAATGGTGGAGCTCTCTGGATGTCTTTGAAGGGTGATATTCAGGAAACGGTAACACGGAAACACGCTCTTGGTCTGCATTGCAGTAGCGCCCCTATTATTGCAATGCAATAGTGCTGGAAAATAGCTGTTGGAAGGGAGCCGCAGAAGCAGCAAAGCAATGGCTTTTCAGATTAACACAGGAATGCTTATTTAAAGTAACGATCCCTGAAATGAGGCTGTGAACAATTTGACCTTTATTTTGGTTATTGTACTGAGGAAAAGCCCAAATGAGGGTCTGTTCTGCTGACCAAGTTTCTTATTTTAAAAAACAAAACAACAAAGTATTTAACATCACCCAAATCCTGTAAGCAAGTATATCAGCAGTTAAGAAATTCATTTATTATTAGAAGCAAAACACGTATCACAAATGATACTCAAAAATGTAAAAATAATGTGAAGGGGGAGGACACTAGAGAAAAACAGAGGATGAAGAAAATTGTGAGGAATTTGCGAGCATTCCAATGCAAAGATTTTTGTGGTGAAAGATTAAGAGCATCACAAGAAGAGAGTTAAAGACAGCGTCTTTTTATCGCTTGGCTTCCTTTCCCAACCTTTACCCTTGGGGCATGTTTGAGAGCCTAGGGAAGGAAGTCATTGTGGTATCTGCTGGTCCAGATTATCCAGGTTCAACTTTAAGGGATCCTTGCTCTAGAGATTCAAAAGGGGTGGAGAAATGATCACCAATGGCATTACAACCATGTCTCCAAGATTACAAGAGAAACACCCTTTAAAGGATGTTAATGCATACGTGAATTGTATGCAGTTTGGATTAAATACCAAAAATGTTGTCCAAGCAAAAATCCTTGCAGACCTTTGCCCTCTGTATCTGACATCTGTATTCTAAAAATCCTTTCTAAGTGCCTCAATTAGTATACCAGAATTAAAGTAGTTTACATCAGCTAAGACCAGAGAAAAAACTCAGATGACTCCCCCCCACCCCCCCAACTCCAAAGACGCTTACTGTTTAAACTTGGAGAAATGATTATTTTTAGGAATCTTTTCTTAGGCTAACCTCTAGCTGTTCAACTTCTCTAACATCGCTAAACACACAGACAAACAAAAAAATAAAAAATAAGTGTATTATGGCACTCAATCCTTATCAGGACAATGAACACATCAAATTTACAAGCGAAGAGGGATTTCTCGTTGCTAGCAAAAATTAGTGTTTCCTCTGTTTTACAAAGAGTGAAAAGAGCATATAAAGGGTGTTTTGTCACTAGTTAAGGGGGAAAAAAATGAAAACGAGAAAAAATTTATGTACTCACGAAATAAATTCCTTTCTATAAATGTTGGTAGTTAGAGTCCTAAAACAATTCCGGCATTAAGTTAAAACACTTTTGTCAAAATTATACGGTTATTTACAAAATCTGGTCTCTTAAAAGAACTCAGGAGGTCATTACAAGGCAAATAATGCAAACAATATCTTACCTTTCTGCACTTGATAAGATGATAAGGAAACCTGCAGGCCCTGATCTGGTGGTTTTTATCATAGGGGCATTGTAATAGCTTTTCAGGGTCCAGGGAATCGACTAAAAGAGAGAAAGGAGGATAAACATAAACCCAACCAGGCTTTGTACAACTCCAGTATTCCAGACACACTGGATTTTTCAACAGAATCTTTAACAATAGAACAAGACAGTCTAATGACAACTTGGCATTTTAAAAAAAGGGTGACTAAACATTTAAACACGAAAATGTAACTCTGAGAAGATAAAACTGTATTACCACCAAATCTTGGGAAGTCTAGCAAAACAAGCTATCATGGGATAGCTTGATAGGATATTGATAAGATAGGATCTTATTAGTTCATATTTGGTTGTACATAAATTTGTTTTATACGAAGAGTAACAATGAAAACAACAATAACGTTAAATGAAATGACAGCCTCTTCTCCCTTCTAGATGTGCTAATTCAGGGTCATTCTTACCTCTAGCTAGCCAAACCAAAGCCTCCCAACCAGTATGCTAAAGGTCAGAATGGATGGTGTGCCAATATATTGATGGGGGATTCCTCTGCACGTGTGCCCTCTATCCCCCATCAGTCAGTTCTAGGGCAAATTGAGGGTAGTTAATACCCTTTGCCAGCATTCCTGCCTATTTACTAGTATGCCAGGTCGTGAAAATAGTTCATAAGCACTGCTCTAGATCTAGATTTCTTTTTCGTTTGTTTTGACTACTATTAAGTAGTTCCTGATCTTGGTTGCTGCAGACACCTCTCAAATGAAAACAATACCTTTATCAGACAGGTGGTTTTACCTTTTTATTTATTTTATTTTTTTTATTTATCTTGAGAGAGAGAGAGAATATGCCTGTATGTGTGCGCACATGTGCGGGAGAAGAGAGAGAGGGAGAGAGAACCCCAAGCAGGCTTTGGGTTGTCAGTGAGGACCCAACGCAGTGTGAGATCATGACCTGAGCCAAAACCAAGGGTTGGACATTCAAACAACTGAGCCACCCAGGCGCCCTGGTGGTTTTACTTTTCATAGTTTGGAACACAGGTGAGGAAAAACCAGAATTCGCTAATCTAGTGATTATCAAGTTAGATTAAAAAAAAAAAGCTACAAAAACAGAACCTCCTAAGTTTAAGACAATTGCAGACATATGTGAAA